CAAACAACCCCCGCAGGTGCGTCCCCACCGCAATGTTTGAGTTTTCTTCTAGCAGAAGACGATAATAATTCTTTTTTATTATTTATTTTCTCACGAGAGATGAGAATTCAAAGATTCTCTCTATAAATGAATGAATGAATGATTAGTTTTTTTTTTTAAGTATGATGATTAGTTTCTTTTTGTGAGACTCAAAATTATTAATTTCAGTAACCATTTTATAATGCTGAGTTGTTGGTGAAAATAGATGTTTTTGAATCATTGATCAATTAAAATTATTGTTTTCCACTAAAATTACTAGTAATATTCTCGACCTTTTAAATTGGGTATTTGGATTTATATGCAAAAAGTAAATTCATCACTCATGTGACGCTAAATAGATTGGGGAAATTGTAAAAATGCCATTTTTTATGTGTATATTTACAAAAATACCATTTAGGAGTGTTCATTTACAAAAAAAGTCATTAATTATAGATTTTTAAACCCTATATCTTAAAATTCTAAACACTAAAAAATGTTTTGATCCATAAACCCTCTTAAACTCTCATAACTAAATTAAAATAGAACATAGTTAACCCAAACATAAATAATATAATTTTTTTTTAAAATTGGGTATTTGGATTTATATGCAAAAAGTAAATTCATCACTCATGTGACGCTAAATAGATTGGAAAAATTGGAAAAATTGTAAAAATATCATTTTTTATCTGCACATTTGCAAAAATACCACTTAGGAATGTTCATTTGCAAAATTGCCATTAATTATAGACTTTTAAACCCTATATTTTAAAATTTTAAACACTAAAAAATGTTTTGATTCCTAAACCCCCTTAAACTCTCATAACTAAATCCTAATAGAATAAAGTTAACCCAAACATAATAATACAAAAAAAAAAATTTTAAAATAGTATTTTTGTAAAAATTTTAAAAATATGGCATTTTTTAAAAATGAAATTTGAAAAATGACATTTTTAAACATTTCTCAAATAGATAGTACCATTACGGCCGAGAAACAAAAACGAAAAATGTCGACGTCAAAAAAAAAAAATTATTGTCTTGCTTTACCAGATTTAGTGCACCATATTGGTTCAAGAAAACGACATTTATTTCATGTTGTCCTGATTAAGATGCTAGGAAATAGTAGTATTTTTCACCACACAATTGTTATATCTTTATTTTAGTTAAAACACAATTGTTATATTTTTAGAAATCATAAATCGAAAGTATGAAAATTATTACCAAATGGTTGG